TCAGCAACACCGTCGGCCAGCCCAACCCGCCCTATGACGTCACGGTCGAGATCAGCATCGGCGCCTACCAGCCCATCTTCCGCATGACGGCGCAGCAGCAGTCGCTCTACACGTGCGGGCCTCCGGGTTTAGTCTGGTTTGGCTGTCTGTTTGTTTGGTTGCGTGCATGTGTGTATTTTTGTCTGGTTGTTTGTTTGATTGTGTGTGTGTGCATGTATGTATGTATTTATGTATGTATGTATGTATGTATGTATGTATGTATGTATGTATGTATGTATGTATGTATGTATGTATGTATGTATGGAAGAACGTATGATGTATGGCTGTATATTTGTTTTTTTGCTAGTTTGCATGTATATGTATGTCATTCAATCTCTCTCTCTCTCTCTCTCTCTCTCTCTCTCTCTCTCTCTCTCTCTCTCTCTATATATATATATATATATATATATATATATATATTTATATATATATATATATATATATATATATATATATATATATATACATATATATACATATATATTTATGTATTTATATATGAATGTATATGTATATATATATATATATATATATATATATATATATATATATATATATATATATATATATATATATATATATATATAATATATATATATATATATATATATATATATATATATATATATATATATATATATATATATATATATATATATATGTATATAAATGTATGTATATGTCAATTTCTCTGTCTGTCTGTCTGTATATCTCTTTGTCTCTCTCTCTCTCTGTCTATCTATCTTTATCCCTTTATCAGTCTATCAGTTATTATTAATCTACCTATCTGTTTATTTTTTCTATCCATCCATCCATCCATCAACCAACATACTAACTTTCTTTTTCTCCCCCCTTCCCTCCCCCTCCTTCTCACCCCTTACCCCACACTTCCCTTCCCCCCTCCCCCCACTTCCCTCCCCCCTCCCCTACCTTTTTCACACCCTTCCCCTTCCTTCCCTCCCCTTCCTTCTCACCCCTTACCCCACACTTTTCACCCCCCTTACCCCCTCCCCTTCCTTCTCACCCCCTCCCTCCTTCCCCCTCCCCTTCCTTCTCACCCTCTTCCCCCCCTCCCCTCTCCCCCCTCCCATTCCTTCCCCCCCCCACAGATTCACCATGAAGGACTGGGACTCCTTCAACTACCACTACCGCGCCGACCGCCAGGCGCAGACGTTCCTCAGCAACTACGACTTCGGCGATGTGGTCGTGGCGGAACTCAGCGGGAACTCGACGGCCATCTGGGGCATATCGCCGCCCGCGCAGGTAGGGTGGGGCCGGGGGAGAAGAGGGGTGGGGGGGAGGGTATGGGAGGGGGTAGGAGGGTGGGGTTGGGAAGGGGTGTTAAAGGGTGGGGGTGGGGTTGAGGGTGAAGAGGGGTGAGGGTGGGGTAGGAGGGTTAATTCGTTGCTGAATTGCTGTGGTCCTCCAAGCATCTCTATTCTGTGAGAGTCTACAAATTTCAGCAAAACTCAAGCCACTGATCTCCCTGATGCTGTCACCATAGCGTGCTCTGGGTCTATCTTTTTTTTCTTTTGCCATAGACACAACCTGTTAGAAGATCTTTTTCCAACGAATTGTTTCTCAAAATAGCACATTTTTCGTTGCCAGCCCCGGTCACACACTGGGAAACGCGCTTCTTGGTAGTCCACGCGACGAGCGATGTGGCATTTTTTTTTCGTTTCTGTACTAATATCATGGAGGATAATCGGGAAGAATAGCAGAGTAGGGTTCCCAGAACACTTTCTCTGCCGTAGGTTTCTTCTACCGGAAAGTGCACCTCTGAAATTTCTTCAGTAGGACTGAGTACTTGCCAGACGTGCTTGTTGAGGCCATCATTTTCAGTTGCACTGAATGAGCCTCCAACATGCATCCACTGCCCTGTTGCAACAGTTTTGGTTTTACCCCAACCAAGGGTGGAAAATAGGTACTATGCCTTTCTAAAGGGCAACCCAGGGTGCAGTTTAACGTCTTAGCTAGTGGGGGTGGGAGGGTGGAATAGGGTAGGGGTTGGGGTGGGGGTGAAGAGGGGTGGGCCTAAAAGGGTGGAGGTTGGGGTAAGGATGTGTGTGTGTTTATGTGTGTATGTGTGTGTGTGTGTGTGTGTGTGTGTGTGTGTGTACGTGCGTGTGTATCATAACCTTTATATACATTCATAGGATCTATTTACACCAGACACACAAACCCCTCTCCTTCTATCTCCCTTTCCCCATCCCCCTCCCCCTCACTTCCCTTCCTTCCTTCCTTCCTTCCTCCCTCCCTCCCTCCCTCCCTTCCTCCCTCCACCATCTAACCCCCTCTCCCCCTCCCCCCCAGCGGCGTCTGATCAGCGCCCTTCCCCTCCCTCCATCCCTCCCTCCCTCCCTCCACCATCTAACCCCCTCTCCCCCCTCCCCCCCAGCGGCGTCTTATCAGCGCCCTCCCTCCCTCCTTCCTTCCTCCCTCCCTTCCTTTCTCCTTCCCT